CCTCCAACAGTTCTTGGAGGAGGTACGTGCCCAGAGTTCCAGTAGTGCCTGTGATGAGCACGACCTCGCCGTCGATGGAGCGCGTGCCAGGCCTGTGGATCGGGAAGTCCCGCGTGTGCTTGTCGATCATCCCGAGCATAGCTTCAATCGCGGCAGCAGTATCGGCAGCAGCGTCATTCTCCGCTCCGAGCCCACCGACGGACTTCATCATGTACGCCGCTAGGCGACGAATGGACGGGAAAGCGAAGACCAAATTCTGGGGAACGGAGACAGCAGCGATGTCCGACTTTCCCTCCGGCTTGGGCGCATCCCGCAGAGCATTCGTGATAGCCGCACGGATGTACGTCGCTTGGAGACTGTCGCATCCCTGTTCGAACAAGTCGCGGTTCTCGTCCACTGCAGGAACGTCCTTCTTGTCCGACCGCATGACGCCGTTGACGACGCGGATGACGAATTCGTACAGTGCTGGCTCGTCCCATGTCGTAGGTGGCTGGGCCCATACAGCCTTAGTAGGGAGCTCGGCAGCAGCGTAGATCGCCTCGATCTCCTGCTCGTACTGCTGCAAGCAGGCGTTGCGGGAAACAGTGCCCTTCGCAGTCCTGATCAAAGGCTTCTTCTTCGTACCGCTCACAAGGATGAACTCCTTAAAGATGCGCGAGTGCTGCGGTGCGAACGCGTTCGCTTTCTCGATGTCGGGCCAGATGAGGTTGCGGAAGTTGGCGAGATCTTCCTCCGTTTTGATAGAGACGGTCTCGACGGGCTCGACGATCAGCCCGACCTGGGTACGCGCACGGCCAAACATGACCGCCGCGCGGACATAGATGTTGCTGTTGATGATGTTCTCTGTAAATGCATATAACGTCAGTACTCCGTGATTACTGCGGAGGGCGGACGAACCAATAGGCCCGGGATTCGTCTTTTCCCCATTAGACATCATAATCTGGTCATCAGCGCGTCCTATGATCTTCCAGTACCCCGGCTTAGTAGGATGCGGCTCTAGCAAGTCGTTCGTGTCAAACGCCCCCGGCTCGGTAGACACGCATATCCCGTGCTTGTCCGTGTCCTTCGCTGGGATCAGCCTATTTCCCAGAAGATAGAAGCGTGAGAGACGCACCCGAACGACAAGCTTATAGAGCCCATTAGCATCGGAGACCATCATATTGCTCACATCGGAGGAGAAGGGGGAGTACTACAGTGGCACAGTCAGCTGCGCCCCGACAGTAGGTGAGTCGGGGGACTCACGCTCCACTCTGTGCCTGCCAAAGGCTCTTTAGCGACAAGCTTGAACATGATCCCGACTTCTGTCGAGCCGTAGGCGATGGCGATATTCACTCCACTGGCAACGAGATAGTCACCTTTCTCCTGCGGGAGGGGGCCGCCGCCGTACAGCTGCAATTCGGGCATGTATGCATCAGCAACTGCTAAGATGAACAGGGGAAAATAGACGCACGACGCCTTTCATCGTGGCGAGGAACCTCACCGCGTCGAGATCCTCCGCCCACTCGACACAGAAACTCGGCACAGTAAGCATATAATCCGCCTTGGCCCTCTTGGCCGTAGCGAGTACCCTATCCGGTGTGGGGGGCTTCGGCGGGTCTGAGGGCTTGAACATGAGCGCTACACTCCCCGAGCAGATAGGGAAGCCGACGGTGACCGCTACCCCCATTACGTGGAATATGGGAAGCGTCATCGTCGCCCACGTCGAGCCGCAGACGTCGACGTCTCCGTACCAGACTGTACGGCCCCAGGAGAGCCAGACGCGGTGTGCGATAGGGATGGGTTTGGGGAAGGAAGTTGAGCCAGAGGAGTGGAGGATCCAGAGAGGCGTGTTGGGGGTGTAGTTTGCGTAGGTTGCGAAAGAGCGCACGGAGGGGAGGGAGGCCGTGATGCGCTTGTCTGAAGAAGGGTCGTAGGGTGCTGGGGGTAATTGGGCGAGCCGCGGGTAGAGCGTGGAGTACCGCGGTGCGTCTATCAATGTCAGGCTGGGCAGTTTCTGGAGAAGCATCGACGTCGTCTCCTGCAGAGCGCTCGATTGGAACCCTTTAGCAGGGATGGAGCCGACGATGTATTGGCAGTCGGTCTTGTTGATCAGATGCTCCAGAGCGGGGATCGAGTTCCGCACGCTGAGGGGGAAAGCCTAGATCCCCATTTAGTATTGTGAAGGACAAGCAGGAGACCAGAAGAAATAGGAGAGATGGATGGGACGTACGGTAAACCCGGCGCGGACGATAGCCATAAGGATCGTCACATACGCCAGAGTGTCAGTGTTCACCAGGATACCGATAACAGGCGGTTTGCCAGCGATCTGCTTATCCGGCACTACCTGGCGGAACTTGGCAGCCAAGCGATATACCGCGCGTGCAACTACCTCTCTCAGCACCGCTCAGAAAGCAAAAGAAAGGAAGACACACCTTCGCCCCAGGTCATAGAGACGTTCTCCTCCCCCTCGTTCTCTCCCACCAGCACTGCGTAGGGGTGATCATGACTCCTCTCGATGTGCCAATCGATCCAGTCGGGGAAGATGAACGACCCGTCTTGGGGAGGAGCGGTGAATGTCGTAGAGGTCGCCGCTTGGACGGTCACGTAGTCCGCAGGGTAGTAGGGCATCGGTGCGCGTTACGCTGGTCGGTATCGGTGGGTATCGTCAAGGTCGTTGTCGTAGTCCTGATGTCGAATTAGAGTGAAGGGAGTTCGTGATGCACAGGACAAGTAACAAAGCCTGTTGTTCTTATACCTCCCACTCCCTCCCTCAGTTGTCACCTATCCCCGCACCAACCATCAATTTCCCGATACTTCAAAGAAGATCGCTGCATACCTCGGGGGTTGCCCGCCTGCGCTTATGCCTGTGCAGCATCATGCGCTCAAAGCCTGGAGAGGTGCTGATGGTCAATGCCAGTAGCATGCGGGGCAAGGAGATAGCCGTAGATATCGGGAATCACGGAATGTGGGATTTCACATGGGAGAGGATTAGCTGATGGTGATAGTGGATGTTGGTAGTTGTGGGTGGTTATGCGGTCACGGGCGGGCTGGTTCGGACATCTTCCCGCGGGGCCGAGCAGAGTGGATAATGCTGTACTAGTACCGTCTGCGATGAGAGGGTGATGACATAACTCGAGCAATGTGGAAATGGGATCTGTGATTGGGTGTTTAGTGTCTCATGGGTAATAACAGGCTCGATCGGACTCACCTCAAGATTTAAGCTGCAGTTAGAATGTCAGAATCAGAGTGGATCCATCAGGACATCGCACGCATTCAGGCCGCTACGTCATACCCTCACGGGAAGGGAGAAGAATGACACCGGCAATCATCGTTAAGACTAGAGATGGACTGAAAGACACAGTGCGAGACCTGACGACCTCATGACAGCGAGGGTATCCAGCCTCTAACTGACCAGAAAAAAGACCGACAGCTGCGGGTGATTCTGATAGACTGGAAAATAGCAGGTTACTGCGACATGATTGATTATGTCGATTCTGTAGCTTTACACATCGTTTGGGAGGTCAAGTGCAAATAATAGATGCTGCGCAGAGTGAACGAGAGGACCGGAGGACACCTCGGAGGTTGATCGCGCTTTCGATCGCAGCGCATCGGATATACTTCCCACGTGGTTAATAACCGGATTAAACACCTGACTACGAGCAAACCTCCGAGTACTTCTTGCAGGCTTGGCTCATATAGAAACCGGATAAGACAATGTTAAAACTCATCAAGGAAGAAGCAGGTTTTGCTGGACACAGACTACATTTATAAAGACCAAATGCTACACGTGAAGGGACCACGACTATTCGAAACTCAGCCACTACATGGACTTGGTCTATATGAGAATGCTATAAGCACCCTCTGACTCTGCTCACCCGGACCTTCTGATCCCTCATTCACCCTTACTCTGGCTCCTTAGCACATCTACAAAGTGCCTTTCGAAAAATGTTCGGTCATGCGAACATGCCATGTTTCTCCCAGTAGCCCAACCAAAGCTGGACGTCCTCTTGGCCCAACACCTTCGATCCTCTCAGCGTTTCGCTCACTTCCACGGCCTTGTTCGTTTGCAGGTCTGGCATGCCCATCGCCTCCTTCGGCTTGTACTTGCCCTGCTTCGTGTTCTCTTCCAGAGCCTTGTATCCCCGACCGAAGAAATCCATCAACTTGATGGCCGGATTACTCTCCGCAGCCTGTGGACCGCCCGTAGTCGCTGCCTTCTCCAGCATGCTGTACCATTCTCCAAAAGGTACAACAGGGACCTTGAGGATTTTCGACATATGGCTCGCGATGTAGTCCCATTTCGTGGGGTGAGGGTGCACAAGATGCAGGTAACGATAACTCGTCTCGGAATCGGCGTCAACGTTGTGCAGGCCGTCCACGATCTTCCCAAACGAGTCAGCATTTG